AGCCGGCGGGGAGAGGCTGCTGGATAAAGTTGACATCTAATCAGGGTTAGTCACAGCTTTTAACAACCTCCTGCTACACATACAAACTGCAGTTGTTCCATAGTATGAGAAGCGCTCGCACAGCTCGACAAACGCGACCGTGTAAGCGGTCCAGCTGACCGTGTCAGAGACTCGACGTAGTGTCCGCTCCTCTTCCTCGGTGGGGTACTCGCGCCCATCGTCGTGGACATCGTGGATATATGGCACGGCCGACACCACCGCGGTTTCTTTCTCGTTAATGGGGAGATGAGACTCTTTCTTCTCTTCAACTGCCTGGATCTCCTTTTGGGGAGCATGGGCCTGTGCGACATAGACCAGATCGTCTGCGCCAACGGGATCACTCATCTTGGCGAACACGGGCCCTGACAGGGTCTGACTGGAGGGATGGAAAATGGATGGGAAAGACGATCGCACAAGAAAAAAGGGGATCAGCCTGGGGAGCAAGGGATTAATAAGGCCTGAGAGGCGAGAAGCAGCCGAGAGACAAGCGACCTAGTGAGCCGGCTGGGTGTTGCATTTGGGTAAGCTGCGACAGGCTCGCTTCGGGGCCACTATCAGTGCGCGGAGACTACTCCAGATGCCTCGAAGCTGGCTAGTGCCAAGGCCTAATTCCCACCGGTGCAGCGTCGGAGATCGGGACCCAATGTGGATGGTAGCCACTATCTATTTTGCATGACAGCCAGTATCACGCGATGGGTTGGTGCACTTCTTCGCCGCTGCCTATGCGGCCAGGCAGTGGGGAGGCTTATCCAGGGAGGTTCTAGCGTCCATCTAGAACGCACAAAGCTGGCATCCGGACCTGCTCTGTTCCATGTTTCTGTGGCAAACATGGCCGTTGCAGTCCGAGTGGCATGTGGTCCAGAGTGGATAAGAAACTGGGGGAAGTAGTGTGGGCAAATGAGGTAACGTCCATATGGGAGAGTTGACCGAAGTACGCGCGATCATTTGTCCAAGTCCCTGCATGGTGGCGGACGAGCAGGATTAGCTTCCACTAAACATCGTGGATTCATCGCGGTGGGAAGCGACGCTGCTATCGGACTATCTGAGGGCGGATTGAATAGGAACGGGACCACTAGTCATGTCTGATGGCACCGGCTAAACTAGTCTATCTAGCTTTCTCGCCAACGCGGCAAGTGAAGTGGCTAATGCAGCCGGATGGATGTCCAACCGTGGGATCTTCCACAATCCCCGCACTCCCACGCGTCTCTCCTGGAGAGGCACAGGGGTGGCAGGTGGACACGGCGAGTAGGGGGGCGTCTACTCTATCTCACCTCCCAACCACGCAGGATGGTTTGTAAAAAGCAAGTATGCGAGCTGGAAAGGAGTGAGACTCGGAGTCACCGAGAGAGCTGGGGATAAGGCTGGCTCGGGGGGACCGTAACAGGAAGGATGGAGAAAAAAAGCAATATCAGGGACCGAGTTGGCCAATGGATGAGGTCCAGTGAGGGCCAAGCATTGCGTGCTCTGACTGGTCCGGATGATGTCTCAGAAGATAAACTAACCTGAACCATGGAAAGTACGACTGGTATATTACTGATGAAGGAAGCGGAAATAAAATGAGATATCGGGAGTCAAAGATATGAAACTGATAGAGGCAAGTCGGAGATGACACCACCGCCAGCACTGATAACGGCATCAGCCGCAACCAATCAGATCTGATAATCATACAATGCCAAGACCATGCGGGTCTTGGCAGTGGAGCTTCGACGAAGCCAAGTGGGTGGAGGCCGAAAAGAATTATCCGGATAGACTCACGCTGCTATCAGCCCGATTCCGTCCTTTGGAGGATATACTTGCCCGCTGCTACTGCTGCTGCGCACACCCTGATGCAGTAATGTCCAAACGAGACTACGCCTAGATTATCCACCTGCATCTCACTCCGTAACTAGCCGGAATAATCAAGCTGAACTGATAGCTGCACCAATGGTCTGATGGTTCGAGCAGCTGCTGTAGACGGTTCGGGGATGCTGCCAGGATGGGCACGTCCCTCGTGGCCTCTCAAACCTTTACGTACTGGAATCCTATCAAGCATTCATGAACGCCTGACCTAGTCTCAGTTTGGATTAGTCTCCCCTCCAGATCCCGCTGTTGTGATCTCATCACGTGTTTATGGCCTGGGGCAGATATTAGCTCACGTGTACCACCATCCTCTATAGCATTCTCATGGTCACCACCACTATGTTTCTTCAGAATCTTGACGCGGGGGTTTGACGAACAACACATGGGCCGGCTGCTACGGGCAGTTTAACCTTACTTATATGTGGGGTTGGCTCGACATTTCGTATTCTGCAGGGAAAAGCACGCCTTACTCCGCGGTTCTGATTCCTGCGGAAAAAAGATTAAGCTTCATATTGTTGACTCTCAAGCCATCCAAATGATGGTCTAGCATTCGGAAGTATTCCGACTGCCGACGCACGTTAGTTGCCGATATCTCACCTCTGAAGTCCATGCTTAAGTCTCAGCATTGGACAAGCGCTAGTCAACTAGTTTGGACGCATTACGCGTGCTTTCCCCAGCAAGCGCCTCCCCTCGGGCCTAAGCTGTAGTCACAGAGGCAGCGGATACACTTGGAGAGTGTCTGGTCACTTCATACTCTCCCAAGTACCCTCATGTATCAGCCCTACAGACTCCAGATATAATTTCTGGACGGCTCTTAGATGCCATGCCGCTATGCTGATCTTCCGACCAATAAGCGGCGGGGAACGCCACCGCGAGGCTGAGGCTGACTCCATCGCTTCATCCCACGAAGACCTCTTCTTCCGCTGATGCTACCTAATGTACATAAGCATGGAGAAGTCTCCTGCAGCCATCTACTTGGAATTGGACGATGACCGTGTTGACCAGCTTATGCGGGCCGCCCACCGAGGCTTGCTTCCCGAGGTTCAATCCCTCCTCTATGGCGTTTCCCCCAACGTCCAAGACCAGACCGGTCGGACGGCTTTCTCATGGACCGCATCCTGTGGCTTTTCACGGGCCCAGTCCATAGAAGAGCGAAACCGTTGTGATAATGTGTTGCAGTATCTTCTGGACAGAGGTGCCAATCCCGATCTCGGTGACCACCATGGCGAAACACCTCTCCACTGGGCCGTGAAAGGTGGGGATCGCGAAATGGTAGACCTCCTTCTGATGAAGGGAGTTTCCTCCGATATCGCAGACTCCCGTGGTCGTACGCCGTTATCACGTGCAGCGGGACAAGGACTCTGCACCATCGTGGAGTTATTGCTATCCACTGGCAGAGCAGATCCAGATAGCAAGGACAGCCGGGGCCGGACTCCGCTATCATGGGCGGCCGAAAACTGGCACTTGGATACCGTGCGCGCACTGGTTGCGCACGGGGCTAGCGCCGATATCCACGACCACGAGGGGCAGATTCCACTCTGGTGGGTCATCAGTAACCATAGTAAGAGACGAGAGTCACACGGGCAGCATCCAGAGGACTTTCAGCAGTGGCTTGCCGCTCTCGGACCGACGCATGGTGTGGAGCCAATGACCAAGGCCCGACGAACCTTTTTAGCCTGGGCGAGTGAACGCGGCGACACGGCGCTTGTGCAAGAGCTGCTGAAGACGACCTGGGCAGACCCTAACTCTATTGATCGTTACAGGAAGACCCCGCTGGTGTACGCGCTTGAATGGAGTCACTACGAGATAGCGGACATGCTGATGTCTGGCTCGGGGGATGACAGAGATCGTAATCACGATATTGTGTCGCTAAAGCTGATGGTTCAAGAGAGCCGAGCTCGATTGCTGAAACCGTTCCTGGAGCGGTACAAGCCAGATCTGAGCAACGAGGACGAGTCGAGCCCAATTCCTCTGATGAGATGGGCACTACAGCAGGCCGATCGCTCGACGGTGGCCATTCTTCTAGAACACAAGGCTGGAGTAGATGGGCTGGAGAACGGGGACTGGTTTGGTCCTTGCAGCGTGGCTGGAACACCAGCAAATTTACTGTTGGCTCACACTCGGACCGATGGTGCCTCAATTCCTGTGATGGATATGACCATTCCAGATGGTGATCGTGCGGCGTTAACGGCATTGTTAAGCCATCGGAGGCAGATGATGACGCTTGACGATGGCTACGATGGGAGATATAGCCGTGGGCTGAAATCCAGTGTCGCAGTGGATATTGCGGTCTACAGGGATGGACGGCGTGCGGCGCGTTGGATCAATGACGATACTTTGTACCAAGACATAAAGGCAATGCCCAAGACGGCAGACGAGACACATCTTCTGTAAGCTGATCAAGCGAATAATGGCTATGAGGACGTGATGCTGATGCAATTCAGACTCTTCCGAGAAAATCATTATTGGAACACATATTGCCAACTGAGCGATACGCCAAACGAGCTGCAATTTTCTCTCGGAAATAAAAGTCCCTGTCGAACTTTCTCACTGTTTGTCCGCCTGGACATGAAGATCGGGACCTCCTTTACCGACGACCAGGACGACGACCGCAAGGTCCGCATTATCGAATGGGCCGTTCTGGAAGCGCCTCAGAAGACTATCCACTACTTCAGCAACCTGTCATACGGATGGATCCCTGAGAGTGACCTGGAGCTGGTGCAGCTGTTTATGCAAACATGGCGGGACGACTGGATCGCGTTTTGCCGGGAGGCTCGGGGGTACTTGGGACGGCTGGTATGTTCTCGAGAAGTTTTATGTTGGGCGACTGCTAATTACGCAGCGAACACATCAATTGACTGCCCGAGGCAAAGATGACCGACTTATTGACTCTATCGCCGAAAGCATGCAGCAATGGACGCAAATTCAAGCATCGTTGGCCGAGCAACTTAGCCAGGCTAGGTATTTTGTGACGCAGTACCAGCGGTTCAGCGAGACGCGCAAGTTCAGTGAAAAGATGCAGATTATGATAGATGGATTAGACAAAGAGATATCAGGACAGATTGATAAGCTAGAGCAGACGGTGCGCGATTTGCTGCAGATTGTACGCTTCCCTCGTGGCAGTCTGTGAGCGTACAGCTAATATTGGTAGGAATTTGCGTGGGTGTCAATTAATGAGGCGCACCGGTCGACTAGCTTGGCGACGAGCATGAAACGGCTCAGTTGGATTACGGTATGTCTGCTTTCTTGTTTCAACCATGGCAACTAACGGATGGATAGTTCATTTTTCTTCCCTTGACATTTGCGTCGGTGAGCATACCACCATCCATCGACAAGTCAATTCTAACTGAACAGAGTTTATTCGGCATGAACGTGGATATCCTCAGCGACAACCCTTCATGGCGCTGGTATCCTCTCATTGGAGGAGTTCTACTGCTATTGACGGTGGCAGTATGGCTGTCGAGCAAGTTTACGAATGTGCGTGTCTCCGACCCGGTCTAGACTTTCACTTCACTAATCTTTACAGATTGAGCGATGGGTAGAGGATAAAGCGGAGCAGCTTATCAACGGACGTCAGAAGAAAGAGACACTCGTGTGGTGATACCCGTGTTAACTGGTTAAAATTCACACCAAACACACTAAGTAATACAATATCATCAACCACACTATATACCCACCCTTCTAAATCAAGTCGATGTCTAGACAGTAAAGTCACGAGCATGCACTCCCTGACGAGTCAGAAGGGCAGTCAACAGCGCGCGCACATCAGTGAGGATCTCAGAGGCGGTCGTCGGGACGGGAAGAGCGGCAGATCCAGAGGCAGCAGCAGCAGAGGGAGCAGCAGAGGGCGTAGCGATGACAGGGGCAGAAGCAGAGGGGGTAGCCGCGGCAGTAGACTCGGAGCTGGAGGTAGTCGCAGCCGAGGTCCTCGAAGCAGAAGTAGTAGAAGACGAAGCAACAGCCACATTCTGAGTGGGGGTAGCAGCGGCAGCAGTGGTAGTTGCCTCGACAGACGTAGTGGCAGCAGAAATAGCGGAAGAAGTAGCAGAGGTAGTAGTAGTAGCAGCACCAGCAGCAGTAGTCGAAGAACTCTCACTACCACTAGCACTAGCACTGCTACCATCTCCAATACTCTTCGTCAAATCGCCCTTCTCAATATAAACTCCACTCCAGAACCAGTCCTCGGTCCCATCGCCAGTCAAACTCAACACACCGACATGGAAATCCGCCCCATTGGAGCTCGCACTCGCACTAACAGGACTAACCACCTCCGTCAAGGCATCCGATCCATTCGACGCCCAAAGCCCAACCTTCTGGTTATCGAAATCAATATCGTACGCAAAGTTGTACCACTTGCCCGTCTCAAGCTCCACAGAGTAATGCGTATCCCCACCGGCATTCCACTTCAGCGTGTTGTCCTGGTACTGCAACTCCGTGAAATGGCTCTCGAAGAAGGCGATTTGGTGCTCGCTTGACGAGGACGGAGGGTTGGTGCTGCTGGCGCTCAGGGAGAAGTGGTAGTACAGGTGGCCGGATCCCAGGTCGGAGGCAGAGCTGGAGGGCGACATTTGGGGGATCAGCTCGGTGCGTTGCATGCTTTGGCCTTCCCAGAAAGAGGTACTGTCCTATATTATCCCCGGAGGGGGATGGGTTAGTTTTACTGTTATAGTGGAGATAGGGAGGATGGGTTAAGGGATATGGGGAAGAGTACAAGTCTGGTACGCAGACCCTGGGCATCGCTCGCTGCTGGGTTCTTGTAGTCGCTGGAGAGAGCTAGATACTCGGAGGTTTCGCCGTCGCCGTGGATGTACCATTGCCAGGGCGCGATTTGGTTGCTCCATGACCCTATCTCTATTTAGTATTCGGTACCATAGAGGATATTACGGTTCACAGCAAGGGGTTATACATTCGTCAAAGTCAGCGACATTATAGGACGAGTTGAAGATGCCGCTCCACAGTACGGATCCGGCCAGTGTGGAGGCGGGGAAGGCGAGGAAGGCGGCTCCTTTCATGGTGATACTTACGCGGTATATAATGAGTGACTTATGGAAGTAGAGAAGAGAAGCAAAGATAGAGAAAGTAAAGAATGTATGTGACCGGCACAATGAAGAAAAGAATGGTGGTTAGAGAGAGAATGGAAACATGGGCAGTGACAGGTTTAAGTAGGGCTTGGATGCTGGATACAGGCTTGCGGGTAAACTGAAACAAATATCCGCTGGCGGTTTCATCACCGCCGCTGTTAGATTAAGCTTGTTTCAAATTGATCGAACAGGGTCCATGACATGACCGACTTGAGACTGACAGCGGTAATCAATTGATTATCTTTAGTTTAAGGGTGGCAACTATGCAGACGCTAATTGGTTGTGCTCTGTCCATGCTTGTCTAGTCCACACACAGGTTATTACAAGTTAACGCCTTGCACATGTTTGTTCGCTCCAGCACGTCCACTCAGTGCCTAATTGTATCTTGCTCACAACGCAAGAACCGCCTCCTTCAGCTTGGCGAAATTAGGCGTTCCCAGCCCTGTCGCCGGATCCCATCCCGTCGTGGCATTCCAGCTCGCCCACGGGATCACTCCAGCGCCCTCCACATCGCCTTGGCAGCCCACTGCCTCGCCACTGGTAATGTCGTTCAGACTCTTGTAGCCGCTAGAGTACAGCCAAGGGTTCAAGAAACCCAAAGATGTCTTGTTAGCCCGCAGACGGGCATCGTTCAGCAGCGCCACGACACCCGCAAACACAGGACTAGCGCCAGAAGTACCAGCCACAAGGCCGAGCTCACCATCGATATAAGTCAAGTAGCTATTGCACATCAGCAGATGTCCATACACTTCTCTGAAATCGATACATACTAAGGAGATCCTGCAAACGCAGACACGTCAGGGAACGCGCGACCGCTGAAGTTGGTGTATTGCTCGTAGTACTTCTTCGTCGATGCCGAGATGTACTTGTCCAGGTAGGTCCCAACCTGGTCCGACTGGTATGACGGCTGCGAGAAGTAGTTGCTGAAGCCGCCAGAGCTGTCCACCCAGGCGACTTCGGGCACGTCTTGGGTGCCACCGACCGCGGTGATGTAGGGACATGTTCCTGGAAACATGGGTGTGAATTCGGTCTTGTCGGTGCCGTCGTTGGACATGCATGCGCCGCCAACACCTGGATTTGTTAATGTCTTCGTCATGTTAATGGAATGGGGGAAGCTTACCAGAGTCGCCAGACGATTCGAGAATGGAGATACCACGTGTGCCCATCAGGCCGATCAGGTTGCACACGCGAGTAGCGTAGGCGATGGGGACAGTCTATCCTGTTAGCAGGCATCTCATGTGGAAGGTAGGGATGCTTACATCTTCGTCATCGCCGTACGAGTTGCTGATGACTAGCGGCAGCTCGTCGTTGGTCTTGGCCAGCAGGTACTCGTAGTACTGAAGGTAAGGCTCGTTCTCGTCGGTCGTGGTCTCGACGTCGGGAATGAACGGACTAACCAAGCTGATTAGCCTTGATTCTGATTCTCGTCTTCAACATACTCACGGAGATCCACCGGTAATATACTCTGTCACCGGCAAGGGATGAGAAATGCCAACGATGTTCTGCACATCGAGGTCAGCTTCACCATCAGGATCATTCTCCTGGTTGTTGATCCCCCCGTTGATGGTCTCAACAGTGAAGCTCTGCTCCGGAATGTCAAAGTACTGGGTGAATAGATCCAAGTCCGAGTACAAGGCCGACTCGTTCAAGAAACTGCCAAACCCAACACGACTTCCCGAAGATTTCTCGGGCGTGTAGTCAATACTATACTGTTCCTTGAGGCAATCCGGGGTGATGTACTCGCACACATCACTGCTCTTGCCGCTGCTCTCCTTGGTAGTCTGCGAAGCACGCACGGCCGCCGAGCGGGCAGCGTTAGATCTTCCAAAGAAAACAGTTGGCGAAATGAGGTCAATGGACCCAGCCAGATCATCCGGAACAGAGTACTTCGTCGTGCGCAGCTTCTGGGTAGATCCGCTCTTGTACACCGAGAAGGTGGTGTTGAGAAGCTGATTCGCTGTGCCCACAGTGGTCGCAAAGTTCAGGAGACCACCCTCCTTGTGGATCTTGGTGACGCCGTTCTTCTTCAACCAAGAAACAACAGCAGCGTCATCAGCGAGAGGAAACTGCTCGTTGATGTCGTCCAGATCCAAGAACTGGCCGTACGTGTCCTTGCCAGGGGTGGACACGGCCAGGAGCTTCTCCTCCAACTGGTCCAGGTTCTGGCGCGCCAGAGCCACAGACAGAGAAATGGTTGAGCTGGTATCAGCAGCCTTGACGAGCTTCCAGTCACTGGGGACAGACTTGACGGTCTCCAGAACGACACTGCCGAGCACAGGGGCAGCAAGGGCGAAGCCTGCCGAGAGGCGGGAGAAAGCGACCATGGCTGAAGAAAAAGCAAAAACGACCCTGGGTGGAGAGCAGGACAGACAATAAGGAGGGACGGCCTGTTTATTATAGATGAAGTTGATCAAGCCATTCTGCAGTGGGTTTGGGCCGTCGGAGGGCGGGCGGGCTCCGGCGTGGTGGAACAGGTCACGGTGCATGATGCATCCCTTGCATGTAGGGACGCGGTGAAGCCATTCCCGTCAACCCTATTATTCCTCTGGAAGGTTGAAGCCGCCAGAAAGCTTATAATGGGACGAATTACAACACAATAACTGCATCTCCGTACGCAAATGAAGATAAGATACCCCTTCAAAATTATAAAGGATGCAGATGTTCCTGCAGCAAATGCAAGCTACAGCAGAGCTTAGCCGCGGCACCCGGCATTCGGAGGAGCGACGGAGTCCGTCTGGCAATAGATTAATCGGCAGAAAAAGCACTGCGGACACTATGGAGACACTAACGGCACAGATAGGCGTTCTGCAGCAATAGTGGCTTATCAAGACCATAATTGAGGGGAACCCGCTCGGATGATACCATTGTTTGCCGAGATGGCCAGGTTTCCCTCGTGAGGTGATGCGAACCGTGAGGGGAATGTAGTATTGCATTCAGCTGTTTGGATAACGCCATTGATTCCCTCTCACTCGGATATTAAAATTTAGTAATCGCAATCAAACTCACATAGAACAATGATTGAGTCTCTTTAGTAACCACACAAGAATAATGCCTCATCCCGCCGGGCTTATCCCAACCATCACTTCCACTACTTCCGCTTCACTGTCTCCACAACCCACTCGATCCGCCCATCTTCCGCCACCTCCCCGAACATAAATGTCTCTGCGGCGCCCACTTTTCCATCTGGCATCGTCATGGTAGAGCTGTGTCTATCCGCAAATTGATTACCGTCGCGCAGGAACTGCGTAATCTTGAGCGTCACACTTCCTGGTGGAAGATTTCCTCGCAGCCACTTAATGTGTGCAACAAAGGCGGAGAAGTCGCGCATTGTCTCATCGTCGCGTTGTGTGAAAGTAGGTGTGAATAGCTTGGCCAGATCGGCTTCAGTAGTCTCAGGGGGGCCGCTGAAGAGGCTGGTTAGGGCCAATTCGAAGGTGGTGGCTTCGGAGGCAAATGTGGTGGTGGACATGGTGTGTGAGTCTCGTAGTATCCTCCTTGGCTCTTGGGGCAAATCGCAATGTATAAATCTGTAAATAGTTGTAATCTTTGAGTTGTGTCTGGTTATGGCATCATAGCTGCACTGCATGACATATAAATATTGTGGCATGATGGAAGCCTAACATACATTCACTTAGGGCTTGCCCCAAGTGAGTTGTTGCCTAAGTTGACAACAAATAGTATTGCATTTAGAAATGACAGTAAGGCTACTATGCCTGTATACAAACCAAATGTCTTTGTTTGATTCGCCTTCGTTGACAGATCGTGTATGCTGACGTGAGCGCTAGTGCTACCTAGGTACTATTCTGTGTTGGTTATTCCATGACACACCACAGAAACATTTCTCTTGTCAATGTTTGGCCCAACTTCTGACATCACAGCTCTTTAAAATCATATACCATCTAGATACGGCCACATTATAAGTCAGCTAGAAGGGACTGCGAACAGTGCTCACGTGACGGTTGTGAAGAATATTTCGATCATCAGCGTCACCAACAGCATGTGCCGCCTGGTATCGCTTAGTATCCAGCGCCACCCAGTCCATATACCCACGGATCCATTGCTTGCAACCATCCACAAGGCCACATAACTGTGGGCTTGCATCTTGCAAGATCTGGTATTCCAGCTTTTGAAATTTCTCTAGCTCTTCATATACACTCGCAGCTGTATGGTCAACACTCTCCTGCAAGGTGTAACCATCCGCCGCTCGGATGTACACCCTGTTCCAGAACTGACCCGGTTGGCGTGCCTCAACAATGAAACTGTGAATATCATTCGCCAAGCAGATAATGTTGTTCGTATAGCGACAAAGTTTCTGCACATCCGGTCGATAGAACTCCTCTGGACTGACGGGATCACAGTTCGATGCATCTGCCAACGCTAGACAAGATTCCGCGCCACTTGTATGGCGGCGGATAGATTCAAATTGGCTCACCCCTACCGGCTTTTCCTGGAGATGATACAGAATATGTAAGCCGGCAGTCGTGGCCCAGAGCCTTATTCCCTGGGCGAAACGCTCAAAATGTTTCGCTGATAACAGTTGACGTAATGACTGGCAAATGTCAAGCAACGCCAGTTCGCCATAGACAGGCTCGGGCCTTGCGCAGTTGAAATCAACCACGTCGATCATGGCGGTCAGGTTAGAGAGCGTGTTTGGCGTCACAAGGTCCACCCTGTCGAGAAAGAGTTCGTCCACAACAAAGTACCATACGAAGAATTTCGAGATGACTGACAGAAGCTCGGGTGCCGCCTTGGGATGGCACCGGGCTGCTAGCCAGGCGTAACGACTGCGCTTCACTCGTTCGCGGTAGGCTACATCGACCAACAAGCCCTTCTGATCGGCCCATTCAAGCATGCTGGCTTCCAGCTGGGGCACATTTGCTGCGATTTCTCCTGCCCATGGGATGTGCACTATAGGAACCTTAAGAGTGCCAAGCTGAGCTTCCAGGGTGTGTCGATCCATATTAATTACAGAATAATATAAAACGTTCGGAGATGTGTGTGATCTTGAATAGTCACTTATGAGAGTTTCCTGGAGTAACTTAACGAGAGGAGGGATACTTCCACTTTTTATACAGTGGTCCTTGTATTTCTGACGCTTGGCTTGTAGTTTTACTCCTTCCCGTTGACGTAGTTCTTGAATAGATGAACCCCCTTCTCAAGGGGCCACCAAAGATGAGTAAAGATGATACTTGCAATCCGCCCTACCGTAAAAATTGAGTAGCATGTCCTATGTACTGTCATCACCCCACACACTATCAGCCATTGGAATCCTGAGGCGTAAGTTATTCTGACTAGTGTCCAATAGAGTACCCCCACTACGATGTCTGTCACCGGATGCGGGAGAGGAGACGTACACGTCCCTATTCAGTAGGTATAGATCAACAGATCCTTTTCTTTCTGGTAACCTGCTGTGCAACCTCTCCCAAACAGACTATGCCTACTTTGTCTCAATACCACTCTTACCCCTTTCTATAATGGCTACTCTTTCCCCGTTAATCAATGTTCATCATCTGTTGGAGTCTCGCTAACGTACCGGATTATGGCTCTCAATATTACTGTCTCAGCAGCGGTTATGAGATTCGAAGGCACTGGTAGGGTAGATATCCACTGAAATTTGGCCGACCTGGACGATGCAGTGATCATGATTTATTGGTGACAACAAATGATTCCACGGCAGCTGGTCATTCAAGTTGTGTTACACGTCTATTCTATTATGCGCCCAGGAAAGGATGTAGGGGATTCACCTCCATTCAAGACAGCAATATTCATAGCGACAGGAACACGCCTCACTGATTATTGTCCAGCATAATCTAGGAGAACAATTAGTTCGCTCCGAGTATTAGAAAGATTGTCTGTCAAACTCTCGTACGCGGCTTTCCCAAAGTATTCATGTTGTTTAGCGTCTGAATCACTTGTTTCAAGCCAACTGTGGTTCGGAACACGGGGATATTTGTCCTGCACCCTATTCAGGGCGGAGTAAACTCTAATTAATCCTCGATAAAGCCACCTACAGCGACGACTTTCATCAGTATCAATTTCTGCTACAAATGTCTCAAAGGCAGCCACTGGCAAGCACCTATCCCTTCCCTGCGCCTCGCCCCTTACTGCTGACGACGACGGAGATTAGTTCCTTGACAGAACTTTGAGTCCAATCTGACACTGCGGGTAAATGACATACAAAGTATTTCCAGATCACGACAAGCTCAGCTCCAGCCAGGGGTAATACAGATTAATTCTTCCGGCATACCAATGCGGCGCAGAAACCTATTTTGTTGAACTGAGAATGTGTTCCACGAATCGAAGGGGGCGGTGACACGATCAGCAACATGGTTACACAACCGCTTTGATGGTCCAAGATGGAATATGTACCACCTACGATCTACTAGATGATACTGTGCATTGTGTCACAACTATAGCCCTTGCTTCTGTCCTTCATCAAAGTAATGACAGAATTGCCCACTCTATTCTGCGCGACTTTGGTGGTGAGATAACCGCTATGTGGCTCGCACGTGGACAGAATATACTTCTAAGTACCGATATATAAATATGTAGCTCATTCAGTCTAGGTTCTCCCAAAAATGGGGAATTGAAAGGGCAACCAAATCGATACATCGCGTAGATAAGCACCATTTTACCTCTTCGTGACTTTTCTTTCAACGAAAATGAACCATCATCGACAATTCCCCGGCTATGTGGAGCCTGGAGCAGGATCCAATCTCTCTCCCTTCATCCACTCGAAGCCCGCTCCCATGGATGATGCATTGAGGAGCCGTCTTCTAACCCGCTTCCAGCCCAGAATAAGCAACTACAACTCAGTTTCTCATGATGCTTGCATCGAGTGTCATATAGACCTGTTTGGGAGAGATGGGGTGGGAAAGATGATCGGGGGAATAAACGCGCACGATGGAGACTTCATAGCACTCTGTGCCCTGGAGGCGCTACCCGAACGGATTGGCTTCTGCTCGTATTTTAATGAGTATGGGTTTCTCGATGATGGTGAGAGGATCTTCAAGCCTCAAAAGCCGTGATTATTTTGAGTGGCTGACTCTTCTTTTCCTGGTTTTCAGACATGTCAGTCGATGCCATTCAGCCTGCAAGGCCAGTCTTAACAGACCCAGTCTTGACAAAGGCTCTAGGGGCAGAGAAAGCCAAAGAGATTACCACAGTCAATGGGAACTCTCACTGAAAACAGCAAATTATGGCGAAGATCTGGGCGATACAGAAAGTGCTCGATCCTGCATATCTGAGTCGCTGCCAGACGACTTTGAGACAGTGGTTTGAGACAGCACAACAAATTCGTGACAAGTATTTCACCGATATAGATGATTATCTGGCTACCAGAGCTGTGGATTGCGGTGCCAAGTCTGTGACTCCCTTATGGGAATTAGGATCGTTCTGCAGCTGACGCAGATGTGAAGCTGGATTGTCCATCTTATGGCCTGGTCTAGTGGTCTTGTGCTCACACCAGAAGAATACGACAAAGTCGGACCAGTTACGTATCTAGCTTATGTCGTTCTAGCCATCACGAATGACTTCTGGTCCTAGGAGAAAGAGAAACGGGCAACAAGAGAATCGGAAGGATCTGCTCCACTCGTGAATGCCGTGCAGTTGGTGATGGAAATATATAATACTAATGAAGAAAGCGCGAAGGAGATTGTCTGCAACATTATCCAGGAGCATGAAGAACGTTACTGCCGTCTTCGTGATGAATATCTCAAAAGACCAGATATTACCTTGGCGATTAAGAAGCGGTTTCGGATTGTTGAGCTATCCATTGCTGGAAATGCAATGTGGAGCATCCGCGTTTTGCGATATCATCAAGACGTACAGAATCCCTACGAAGGAACTTTCGACTTTCCTTCTGTCTTTAGCTCTCTGAAAATAACGCAGTTTTCTCCAGATGTGACATCACAAAGAGAGGGCATCGCAGGTATGCTTTCCTTCCTTCTTGACTTTACATGTGATGCGAGTCGCGACTAGAACGATTTTCATGTATAGATGTGAAACAAAAGAGTTCAGCATTGGCGCCAGCACCGAAGCTGGATGACACCGTAAGCACCATAATCACTCGATTCCTTGGCCACACTGACTGTCATAGATATCATGGAAGCCAGACGAATATCTCACCTCCACACCAACGAAAAGGTTCCACAATCAACTGGTAGACGCCCTCCAAGAGTGGTACCAGCTTCCCCAACCCTCGCTAGCTATTATTTCCGGAATAGCAACTCTGCTCTATGAAGCATCTCTCATGTAAGTCCTTAATATTGCATTGTGTGTCTACAAATCTGGCCTAACTCTTCTATTTCGAAGGCTGAACGATGTACAACACGTCAACCTCCTCCGTCGCGGCAAGCCTGCAGTCCATACCATCTTCGGCGTAGGACAAACCATCAACTCGGTATGTTTCCAAATCAATAACGCCCAGCGACTCTGTCTGCGGCTTTCTGCTTCAGCATCCTTGATCTTTTCCGGTCAGTCATATTATGAAATCTGGAACCGAGACATACATATACTAATACTGGTGTCTACCTCAGACCAACTTGCCCACCTCTTCGCCGGCCAAGCCCATGACCTCCACTGGGCCAGACACAAGACCATTCCGACAGAAGAAGAGTACTTCACAATGGTCGACGGCAGTACGTAACCCTACAATCAACTCGTCCACATGGCCTCTACTAATCACAGAGATCGAAGAACACGGCCCTCTCTTGGTACTCATCTCCCGACTAATGCAGAACGAAGCTACGCAAAACAGGTAAGTCGCCCTATCCCTACCGCTGAATTACCTTGCACGCACCACCCAGGAAGAAAATATATGCTAACTGACTCAGCACCCTCGACTTAACTCACTTCATGAACCTAATTGGAAGAGCCTACCAACTGGGAGACGACTACCAAAGTCTAGCATCCGCAGATGTAAGCAAGCCCACAACACACCATTTCAAACTAATTCATCTAATAGTACACCACCCAGCGCGGTCTTTGCCAAGGCCTTGACCAAGGAGGATTCTCTTATGCTTTACTCCGCGCCCTACAAAATTCCGAAGACCCCACCGTTCTCGAGGAATGGCTTCAGCACCATCGGGGAAGCACGAACAACTCTCCCGAGATGAATAACTTTATTTTTCGGACTGGTCGAACGCAGTGGAGGCCTCGAGGCAACCCGGGGTGTACTACATGAGCTTTCTGTGGAGATAATGAGGCAGCTTGAGATGTATGAAAGCAAGACGAAGGTGAAGAATTGGTTGTTGGCGACTATTCTGGCCAAGCTGCAGAATGACTTCTCTACTCGAAAAACTGAGAGTAAGAAAGAGGATACATTGGAGAAGGTGTTGCGTGTGTGGGGTGGCTATCGGGATGAGGCGTGGAGGGATGTTCTGAACTGAACTAGGGTTGGAGACAGAATCTTTGGACCTGATCTCACATAGTCGGCATATTTGAGTACTAGGAAGTATAGCTAGAAGACTACATCCCGGATCGAAGTTCAAATCATCGAGTCCATCTATTTTTCTATCCTCTTTACCAAAAATCCAACTATGAACGCTATCTCGGTCATAACAACATATAGATACATAACAACAGTGGTATCAACCGAAAGACATCAATCTTTCCAAGCTCAATCATGTACACGTCCCCAACAGTCACATGTCTACAAACTCTGCTTACCAGCAGTCTCAATCGGCAGCAGCACCATCGCCACAAATGAAACCAACAACAGCGCACCTGACGCATAGATAGGCGCACTGGGGTTCGCAGAAGCATAGATACCAATGATAGGAGCACAGAAACCAGCAATGCGGTTCAAGCAACTAGCAATACCCGAGCCGGTACCGCGGTTGGGAGCGGGGAAGACCTCGGGGGTGTAAGCGTACAGCACACCGTACATGATCATCTGGGTGAAGGATTCGAGAGCCGAGCAGACGAGTTGAGTGTCGGATGTTTTGGCGGCCGTGAAGCAGAAGAGCAGGACGGCAGTGATCAACGTCGACAGCGCCATTGTACCTTTCCGACCGACGTACTTGAGGTCGACCATGTAGCGAGCCAGAATGGGGCCGAAGAGTCCGGTCACGGAGGTGATAGCGTAGTTACGGTAGGTGATGTATACGGAAGACGAGGAGCCGAGGTACTGGGGCAGGAAGGCGTTGAAGAGGGTGTAACCCATGCCGATGGTGGTCCAGCAGAGCCAGATGAGGGCGGCTGGTTTTCATCGTTAGTTCTTGCCAGGGGCTGCTGCTGAGGATCTAATGGAAGGACTTACTGGTAATTCCAAGACGCTTGGACGAGAACAGAGGTCCGATCTGCTGCACGGAGAACTTGGACAGCGAGCGCTTCAGAATTTGCGCGGAGGAAAGGTTCTGTTCCTTGCTATCCTCGGTAGCTCCGCCGATCTCTTGCAAGATCTCCACCGTGAGCCAGGTCTTCTTCTTATTGTGATGGGCGACACCGTGAATAGCTGCGACAGCGTCCTCATCCCGGCCCTTGGCGACGAGGAACTTGGGCGATTCGTACAGCTTGAAAAAGAAGAATCGACACATCCAGAATACCATGGTGATGGCACCAAGAGAAAGAACAAGGTATCTCCAGCCCATGTTGTTTTCCTTGGTGCAGTTGCTCGAGTCGGAGCAAGAGTAGTTGGGAATGAAAGCCCAGGCCAGCATACTGGCAATGAAGGTACCCACTGACCAGAATGTGGCCAGTGAACTCAAGATGTTTCCTGAAGCACCGGGCAAGAACTCGAGGAAGATAGCAGCATCAACAGGCAGATTACCACCTACTCCCAATCCCAAGCAAGCGTAGAGGGCACAGGTACTGAACGCTGTTAGCTATAGCGACTTCTCAAGGGTCGGCGGGAACGTACCCAACCCAGCTGGGACCACCGCCCGATGCAAGACCAAAGGCACCACACAAGAAAAGAGTGGTGTTGAAAGCCAATCGACGTCCAATCATATCAGATGCAAGGCCCCAGAAAGTGGCGCCAACGATCAGACCAACGAACAAGGCGCAGGTAGTAAAACGAACGTAGGATTCGGAGATGCCGAATTCCATAGACAAGGGGGTTAGGGTCAGGGCAACTCCCTACATAGAACCGTGTTAATTCGACTGCATTTCATTCGACAGTGTCAGTAAATTGATTGCTGTGGTCTCACCTGTAGCCAGAGGCTGTAGAAAGAAACTTGTTAGCGCAGCTAGAACGAATTCTAGGAATCAGTCGACTCACTTGTCAGCAGTCCAACCAAATCCACACAGGATATAAAGTTCCCACTGATAACGGCCCATGCCGATATCTTGGATGGCCTTGTTGATGATCTTGGCCTTGCCTGCATTCATCCAGTCAGACATCCAGATCCTTCGGTAAAATGGTAGGAGGGGGTCCTGGCTGGGAGAGAGAGAATAGCCGGCTCCTTGGGGGTCGAAGATCGCCCATTACGAGGCAACAGAAACATACGATCATAAACAGAGTTATGGCCCGATGCAGAGACGGCAGAGTCGACTTCTGCACGCAGGGCCTCGAGGGTTAGCGTAGTGCTTTCGGGTGCGGAAGCAGCACCCTTTTCCTGGGAATCTAAGCTGTTGACATTGGATTCGGCATCCTTCTCCGTTTGGGGAGTCGTATTGGGGGCATCGGCCAGAGGGATCACGACCTCAGGGATCTGCGAGCGGTCTCGCTGCCAGTTTTTCCACCAGCTACCCATTTTGATCAGGCGTTCCGAAGATAAGTCGCAAGGGGGTAACGACGAGTGGGATGTGGCGCGTGGCTAAAGATAAAAACGTATCGACCTAAATTGTCGCTGGGGTTATATGCCGGGGACCTAAATAGGGCACGGTATGCCTTGTCGCCGGGGCTAGATTCGATTATTTGGATTGCTGCTCGGGAAAAAGCGGTTCGAATCTCGTCTGTTCTTACAACCTAGACCGTGAGTAGGAGAGGTTGTCGCAGGGCGCTATCAGGGCAGACGCTAGGGAGTGCAATGGCGGGCAGGCGTGCAGATAAGGGCAACCGAGGTGCGAAGGGAGACCGCGATGATATTTGGCGCAATGGAATAATCACAAAACAGGTCGCTCTCTGGGTTTTTGCTTGGGCGAGTGGTCGGAGTGTTCGTGTCCGTCTTTCAGTCCTAGAATGACTATGTCTAGTGTTGTGACGACACCACACAGAAAACGCTCGGAAATAGTTTTTGTTTCGTATATAAATTCAGCCTGGTAGCCAGGTATTGACAGTCTTCTGTAGCCCAAAAGATGACACGCTTGGAAGAGAAATGCTAGTTGATTCGGTCGCAAAACAGGAATCAAACTTGCAACAAAGGAAGAGGAGTAACAAAATACTACCTCAGGATGGGTCGAGATGTGGAGAGGAAAGACCGGGAGGAATGGGATGGGAAGGAAAGCCGTGGGACGACGGGAGGGGAGTTGTTGAACCCTATATAAACTCCACGATTCATGCGCCGCAGGAAGACTGGGAAAAAGTTTGACATAACATCAATGCGTAACAGGCAGGTCCACAGCACCCATGACTACTCGGTACGAAGTACCCCGCTTGCCGCCAGTGACCCAAGGCAGAGCTGATGCTGTCGCTTCGATTGATTTTGCGGTTGCCTCTGTACGAACACGAATGGCACTCTCAATTGAGTGTGAAGAGCCGGATTGATGCCCTATGTGGACTGTGTCGCATTGGGAATGATAAGGCTAGTCTTAAGGGACTGGGAGATGCAGGATAGCTCTCCTCATGGCGCTTTGGGTTCAGGCAGTTTGCCTCTTGCTACTCGGGTTGACCTGGTTTGGTGTGCGTGCGAGCGCTCTCGCAGGTTATGCGGATGACGGTGGAGAATGGGAAGGGGCCATAGAAAAGTGAGAAAGGGGAATGAAAGCAGGACATAACAGGAAAAAAATTTTCAGGATTGTATGAGTCGATGTCGTTGGGGTAGACTTGCGGTTCTTAACATTATCCGTGGATGGGGTCATCATCCCAGTGGATAACCTCATGTCCAATAATGAGCCAGTCAGGTCTTACTGTCCCCATCAAATCGCACGTGCCAAGACCCCTAAAACGGTCGAAAGAAGAAGGTGAAATGAGAGTCCGAATGTTGCCGTCGGCTTCGTCCGCGGAACCGGCGCCACAAGGGCCCCTTGAGTGGTGCAACGGATTAGCCGAGTATCCACCAATGTACCCTCATGAGTCCCTCCGGTCGTCCTCGGAAAAACGACGTCATTCCGATTTCTTACTGAAGGGAACGGAGCAGGTCGCGTGTCAAAAATGCTTGAGATCTTCGCCGTTTTCTCGTACCGAGGAATGCCTGGTGGTTGTTGACATTCATTGAGAATTATTCCGGTGGAGAAGTAGGGAATCTGGCATCGGATTAAGGAATTCCCGTCGGATTGCCTCAGCTGATCGGCATTACCGGTTGCGGTCAATAACCAGATGGGCTGGTCACTTGCGACGCGCGTTATTTAGTGCTCAGCATCACTACAAGATATTAGAAAGAGCTTGATTAGCCAGCACGGGAAATCGAGCCGCTGGCGCTTCTTGGTGGTTATATGACACGGTTTAGGGTTTCTGACTGGCTCCCGAATGTCTGTCTACCTAATAGCAGGGCTTTGCGTACAGCTAGACAAAAATGGTGCCTACTCCTGGAGTGAACGTGTGTCATTCAAATTTACATATCCGTATGTTTCAGAGCATTCAAGTCATATGTCTGGGTTGCTAAGGCTCCAACCAAGTTTCTCACGAGATGCTCAAGAAGGTCCTTGACTAGCGCTTCTGCGCCTTGCCGATCAGGTACTTGGAGAGGCTCCGCATAGACTACAAACGCGCCACTTGAGGGAAGAATTCGATAACAACCTTAGCAGAAAGATTGCATCTCATAATACTCTTATCAGTAGTAAGGCGCTTCACAATGCCTTGGACTGGGCACGTGGAGACAAGTGGTGTTTCCTTCTGTGGGTCCTAGTTTTACAAAATATATGTAGTTCTTACGATTCATTATTCATACTATTATTATTGTTCGGCCGCATGGCTGTAAGATGGAACCTGCCAATGACGCATGAAACAGCGACGACTGCAATCGAAAATGCCATTATTGAGTCCCCGTTTAGTAATAGCTGCACGTTATCATAATATTTGTGTACTCCTGATATAATTGACGGTTCCGAATTTCGTCTTCCGAGTAAAGAGCTGGAGTGGAAGCTCACTAAAGTGACCCATAATCACATGCATGAGCGACGTACGTCCTATAGTACTATTCATTGGTAGGACATAATCCTCCCCAGCACCGCATAATAATCTAGACGACTATTAAATGTCTAATACCAGATGCAATAGCCCCAAGAAAGGACCATGACGCCCTTTGACTGACACTTCCAATTCTTGTTGACCAAAATTTGTCAACAGTGCATGGCTCAAATGGCCCATTTGCCTGCATACCCTCTGCCATATGTAGCTGTCT